CTGCTTTTCCCACGCATCCAACGCATTTATGCTTTCTTTCCCCTCTGTCTCTCTTCCCTCCCTGTGGTCGCCCTTCACAGTCATTCGTCGTGCGTTTTCTTCTCCGACGCGCGCGCCCCCCCCAATCATCCCCGTGGCCCCCCGGGGCCGACCCTATTTGGCGCCTTTCCCCCCCGCGTGCCCCTTTCCCCCCCCCCCCCCCCCCCGCAGCCAATCAATGGCAGCCTCTTCGGCCCCGGCAGGGCTCGGCAAACACCAGATCAATAAGTTATTAGCACCATTCTGTCAGCTGTAATGTGGAGATTGATCGGGACTGGGGGGCTACCAGCACGCCGCTTGGCACTTCCCCTGCCTGATAAAGATGACAGATTAAGGGGATAAAAAAAAAAAGGGGGGGGGGGGAGAATTAACTTTAGCTGTCAAAGGCCGGCAGGGGCTGTGGGGGCAGGGTGTGGGCAGCCCCGTGATTGACGGGGGACATTTCAGGGACAACGAGGTTGCCACCCCTGGGCATCTGCGAGCCAAGATGGCATCTCTGGGCCGCGAGGTGTGAGAAAGTGACGCGGTGCCGATCCTACGCCTGGCATAGGATTGGCCCGTTGCCCAACAGAGGAGATAAAGTGGGCAAGGTGGAGAATATATGGAGAGCTGGCACCCTGCGGGCGAGACCAGGAGACAGCTGGCACCCCGCAGGTTGAATGGCTCCTTTCAGTAGACAGTTTTTGCAGGTTTTATGGAAGGGCAGCATGGAAAAGGTGTAGTTCAGAGATGGGAAAGGATGCCCCCCTCCCCCTTTATGACTTGTGGACTTCAACTCCCAGAATTCCTGAGCCAGGGATTCTGGGAGTTGAAGTCCACAGGTCCTGAAAGGGCCGTCGTTCTCCATCTAAGCCTTAAGCATTTGTTAGACAGGGTTGGGGTGGGGGGAGAGAAAAGGGTGCTACTTTTTATTTTAAAAAGATGAATCTAATTCTTAAATTCTTCATCTTCTTAAAAGATGGATTCTGAGGTTTGTCTTTTTTTTAAGGCAACCTTAGAGCTGCAAGGGGGAAGAGGGAATGGAGTTGGCAGACAGACAGACAGAGAAAGAGAGAGAGACAGACAGGCAGGCAGAGCCTGGGGCATCTGTCAGCCTTCAGATGGAGAGTCCACAGCCTCCAGGTCTGGAGGTGGCTGATGAGGAAGAGGAGGAACAGCTGGGTCCAGTGCCTGACACACAGATGCACAGAAGGCAGAGGAGAGGAGAGCAGTGGAAATCTATGGGCCGGTCCTTGGGACGGATGAGCCATCACTGCTAGTGACATCCCACCGTAGCTCTGGGGATAAAAGGCAGGGGGCAGAGATGGATAGATGTGGCAAACAACTAATCATTGTCAGGATTCCGGCTAGTTACCCCCAATTAAATCTTGAGTCTCGAGTCAAACTTCCAAAACTTAAAAAGGATTTATTGGGAGTTAACATGTCTGGCATTGCCTGGGTATAGCCGACTCCGAGACACATAATTCATCGTCACCCTTGACCCTAGTTTTCCCCCACCCCTCTGGGCGTATCATAATTCATATATTCTCCAATGGGACACATCCCTAGCCCAGAGTCATCAATCAGGCTCTCCAGTGAGAATTTTGCCCGGCAGAAACTTCAGTCACCTAGTTACTATCTTTGAAAACATTTATCAAATGCACTTTCGATTTCCAAGCTGCCGCACTGCTCTTTCAAACCCCTTCTCCCCCCCCCTCCCTTTCTGTTGGCAATTCTAAAAAGACTCTAAAAATATGTTATGAGTTGACATTCATCTCCTGGCCGGCTGAAACTTAGTTAGTCTGCGGTGAGAGACAAAACTTTTTTGCCGGAGCTGCTGGTGCTCCTAATGAAGGAATCTTTTGAGTTAACTTTCAGGGGGTTTGTCGTGTTTGGTGAGCTGGAACAGAATTGTTGTAAGTCGAGGACTACCTATGCTTGGAAGGATAGCTGGTGTGTGGATGTTTTCCTGAGAACTTGTGGCGTCCACACTTCTGATGGGAAAGCTAATTTGGCCCTTCTTTGGAAAGAAGAAAGTTCTTCGCTTCAAATGAGATTTAAAAGCAGACCATTCCCAACGGGGGAAGACTCATTTGTACACATTTGCGCTCAGGGTTTATGGTCTGTGAATGTGTGGCGAGCAGATGTGAGAGTTGGGATTTATTTCTGAATCTTTGATCATGAAAGCCCAGATTTGACTACCGTAGGCGTCTTCTCTTGTCATTATTAGCTTGGCTTCTCTTTCTATTTACTGTTTTCTTTTTATTTATTACGTTCGGCTCTTGGCAGCCCACACGGAAAAAAAACCAAAACAAAACTTAAGCATCAAGAATCAAACATGCAGCTTTGCGCATCCAGGCTTAGATTAGCAGTCCTGGAGATAATTAAGATTCTGACTGGTTTTCAGAGAAACCCTGGTTTTCAGAGCCCAAACATATGTTAGATTTCTTTCAGACCATATTTTTTCTTTTCAGGGAAGAAAAAAAAAACCCTGGTTGAGCATTGCACAGAAAAACCTGCTTTTGAAAATGTTTATTCAAGCTCTCATTCATCCTAATTACCGAATCTGCACTTTTGTTCATCACCTGTGTTCGTGAGGGTTTATTTTCCGATATTTATAGCCCACTCTGGTTGAAATAGACTCTTGACTGGGCACCGTGAATTCAAAAACGAAACCAAGATATTAAAATCCCCGTGCCAGGATTAAAAACGACCTGTAAAAACTTAACCCACTGTCATTGCCATCCTAGATGGTTTACCTAATAAACTGTAGGTAAACTAAACCTCTCTGTCATGCCCCTGTCAGAATCTGATTCGGAGGGGGAGGCCGAGCAGCTGACAGGGAGTGGGAGTGTGGCTCTGGGCAGCTGTGGAAGAAACTGGGGAAGGGCACAGTCTGGCTGGGCAGAGCAGGGGAGAGGTAGAGCAAGGGAGAGGAATTTGGAGGACGACCCAGGCCCACCCCCTCTTCATCCTAAGGCACACAAGAAGGAACGGAGAAGGGAGCAACGTGGCTTACAGGGGAGGAAAGGGCCTTGATCCCCTTCATGGGCTGCAGCTGGAAAGACTGTTTAAAAGGGCAAACTGCACATGGCAAAGTTGCTGGAAGCAAAGCATGCATTATCTTGGTCAAGGCTTATCTGGGTTTTGGCGTCCTCCCAACTGTGGTTGCCGCGTTATCCTTTGGAAGTCTGCAATTTATCATCCTGGCCTGTTGTGTTAATTACTTCAGTGTGGTTTGTGTTGGTTTTTTTTTTTAATTTCTAATTATCTTTACTTTGGGTTCGGACTGCATTTCTTCCCTTTGTAGACTGTTTTTTTGAAGAGTTTGATCTCCAGCCGGGGATAATTGGACACTGGGGGGCCAAGTTGGAGGCATTAAAGGAAATTTATTCTATTTTTGTGACTTTGTTATTTTTGTGTCACGCCCTGGGTCATCACACAATGCCTCAGACTACACCGCCCATTCTCCTTGGCAAGTTTGGTAAGGGGCTCTTTCCCCTCTGTTTTTGGGCGCCCCCCCCAAAAAAAAACTTTAAATTATGACGGGTGCCACCGGGTTTATAGACAAACCCCATCGGAGGGCTTCTATTTAAAAATCCCATGGCGAAATCAACGCCGAATTAAAATGAATAAAATCCACGTCGGGGCCCCGTTAAATTCCATAACCTCTAACTTTGCATGCTGATTAAACAAGTCAGATGGGGAGGGGACCCCCCCCCCCCACCCACCATTTAAATAACCCAATTTGCATATTTTTTTAAAAATCCCCTTTCGTCGTGCACGCAGTTTCTTGCAGTTGTGGTGTTGGTGAGGCGAGGAAATATTCCCAGCTCTTTTCAAAATCCGCACGCTCATTCAACCTCGAATCTTGGCTTCTCCTTAAAACAGAAAGGATCCTGGCTTGCACATCTGTGGCTTGTTTTGCACAAGTTTTTTTTGCTGGAGAATAAGGGGGGGGGGGGGGGGGAGAGAGAAAAAAAAATTGGATGAGAAGAAGCTTAGAAGCCTAACAAGGATGAATTCTTTTCGCCGGCCCCTATTCCACGGGTTTTCAATTCCCACCCCAGCCTTATTATGAAAGAATATTGATTTTTTTTCTTTTTTTATGTGCATGGGAAAAGAAGGGCGAGGTGGGGTGGGAGTGAGGGCCTTCTGTAATTGTGGATTATATATTTTGCACTGGCTGTCGGGAGGGAGGAGTTTGACCCTTCCTCAAAAGGTGGGAGGGGGGGGATTGAACCTGCAGAGACGATGGAGGAAGATCAGGGGCTGTACATTAGAGTGAATTCCTCCCCCTCCCCAGAACACCCCCCCCCTCCCATGTTTTACCTCAAGGCTCAGGAAGCCTCTGGGGAAATGCAAGGGAGACCATCAAATGATGCAGTTAAGTAAGGAAATAAAAGTAGATTATTATTATTATTATTTTTATTTTTTTGCAAATTTATGGCTGGGAGCCTTCGGCATCGATCAGCGGCTGCACACTCAAGGAAGGCTGGGAGCCGGGTTAGGGAAACGGAGGCGAATGCTCCCAGCCACGCGTCTCCCTCGCTTTCTTTTCCTCAGCTGCATTGGGGTGGGGGGGGGGGGGGTAGTCTTTGTTTGTGGGGGGGGGGGCTGTGTGTTGTGTGAGTGTGTGTTTGCAAGCCTCAAAAGGCTCACAGATTGTGGGAGAGGAGACATGGTGGTGGGGGAGAGGACAGTGTGCCTAATTGTGCATTTCCAGCTGACATTTTTTTTCCTTCTCTTCCTCTCTTTTCCTCCCCTCCCCTTCTCCTCCTTTCCCTTCCCTCACTTTTTCTTCCTTCCTTCTTTCTCTCACCTTTCTCTTCCCTTCCTTCCTTGCTTCCTCCCTCCCTCCTTTCTTTTACCTTCCTCCCCTTCCCTTCTCCTCCTTTCCCTTCCCTTCTCTCACCTCTCTTCCTCTCTCTTCTCTCCTTCCTTCCCTCCTTTCTTTTTCCTTCCTTCCCTCCCCTTTCTAGATGAAGTTTTAGGCAAAAGGAAAATCTGTGTGCCAGGTAGCAACGGAGACTGTCTTTTGGAGAGCAAAAAATCTCGAAGCGAATCCCCAAAAGGTGAGAAAAGGAAAGTCTCTCTTATGATTTGGTAGTGGAGTTGCATCTGCTTTCTTTTTGGAAGGAAGGAAGGAAAGGAAGGAAGGAAGGAAGGAAGGAAGGAAGGAAGGAAGGAAGGAGACAGAAAGGGAAGGAAGGAAGAAAAGGAAAGGAAAGGAAAGAAGGAAGGATTCATTTCCAGGCTCCTGTCTTTGAGAAGATTTATTTTCAAAATTATTTTGAACTTTAATCAAGTCTGTCTGGCCTACTTCCCCTCTTTATTCAAATTTATTACCAGTTAACAATCTTTTTGGGGTATTTTCCAGATAGGTCATCCTTCCCTTCCTCCTGAAGGTTTGCTAAAAATGTGGTGCCCTGAATCCTTCTCCTTGTTTTCTCCTCCCCCTTCCTGCCTCTTAAGCCCTCTGCCCCAATCAGCAAAGTTACGGGTGGTCCTCGCTTAACGACAGTCCGAAGTTAGGACAGCCTCAGAAAGGGTGCTTTTGTGGGTCTGCAAAGGACTTTCGACCGTCGCAAAACATGCCCAGTCAGATGATTTTTTGGGGGTGGGTGGGCTTGGCAACTGCCTCGCATTTGCAGCAAAACTAAAAATAAAACCCATTGGGTGTGCTGGATTTGTTTAACAACCACTGGAGTTGCTTAAAGACCATAGGATTTGCTTTGCAACCGTCATAAAAATAGTTGGAAACTCAAGCCACACCAATAATATAATGAAGGTAGTAGTGCCCCTTGTGGGTGTAGACTTCCAGATGGCACAGGCTTCTTCGTGACATTAGCAAAAGTAAGCAAAACTTTCCTGTTTTTATTATCCTACTTCCATTTTATTTGAGAGGGGGGGTGTCAAGTCCCAAGAGGGAAATTTGAACCTTGCGTAGGGAGAATGCTCTCGTCAGTGAGTCCAGCTGCAAGTCCACTTGGATTGGCGAGAGACACTGAGAAACACCGAAGGATGGAGAGGAAGCCCACCTCTCTCTTAAACTCCCTAGATTTGGGGTGCGTGTGTGGAAACTTACCCTCCCTTACTGATTAAAAATCATACTGGAAAATCCCAGAAGGATCCAAATCGGCGTTTTGGCTTTGTTTGTGTTTTGTTTTAATTGGTTAAATGCAACCTACAGTTTGCAAAGTGGCCCCCTTCTCTTTGAACTTCTAAACGCCTTTTCCAAACGAGTAGGGGGCCTGAAACACCCTCCCCTTTTCAAACCCCCTCTTTCCTTTCCCTCTTTCCACTGGTAAATAGGCAGCTGTCAATAAGGCCAAATCGGGGGGCTCGCTCCCAGCATGCTAATATCCAAGGGGTCCTTAAGCCTCTTTCAAAGGCTGTTTTCTACCATTTTTTTTGATCTGCTCTTGGACGGCAACCCTTGGATATTTTCTTTGCTAATTCTCCTTTTTCACCCTTCCTCCTCCTTTCCGTGCACACACACAAATGCAACACACACACACACACACACACACACGCTCCAGGCTCCCGCTGCATCCTCTGAAAAATTAATCAAGGTGATAGCGGTTTAATCTATCTCGCGGAGACGCTGAGCTTTAATCAGGCTTGGGCGAAACCCAGCCATCTATCGCTTGGGGATCAATGCCACGCCGCGTCCCATCGTCCCTCCTCCCCTCCTCAAACTGGAGTCATTCCAGCCCCTTCCCCTTCCTCAACTTCCCAATTGGAGTTGTGATCAATCACCTTGGCTGTCCCCCCCACCCCCGTCCTCTCTCCCCCCCTCCCCCCCCACGGCCAGCTTAATTATTTTATTTTTAATCGATCGGTTGATTAAATGTTTACGCCTCCCAACTTGGGGAGCGAGCTTTCGCAAATGAAACACACAGAACTATAAATTAATACAAGGATAAAAAAACAAAGGGGACACACACACACACACACACCCTGGATAACTCACGCTGCCCTTAGCTGGATTTGCAGTTTAAGAGAAAAAAGATTTGGGGAGTTTTTTCTTGGATAGAATAGGATAGGATAGGATAGGATAGGATAGGATAGAATAGAATAGAATAGAATAGAATAGAATAGAATAGAATAGAATAGAGAATGGGAATAGAATAGGGAATAGGAATGGAATGGAATGGAATAGAATAGAATGGAATAGAATAGGAGAAAGAGAATAGAATAGAATAGAATAGAATAAGAATAGAATAAGAGAATAGAATAGAATGAGAAAGAATAGAATAGGAAAGAATAGAATAGAATGAGAAAGAACAGAATAGAATAGGAGAAAG